ATTATAGCCCTTAGCACAAAAAAGCTCTTGTCCAGAACTAAGAAGGTTTTTAATACAAGTAATAGATCATTATAATAATGTGGGAGATAAATATTACATTGGTCATGATGATGATACATCCCCTTCTTTATTCTGCTATTGCTGAAGCCAGTAGCAAAGCTGTATTGATTTCAGGTGGTGCAAGATTAAGCTTTACAGCATTATTATTCCATTGTATTTTGATTATTTTTTTAAATAAAATGTCTTAAGCATAAAGCTTTATGCTTAAGCTTTATACCTTAGCTTTATAGCAGTGCAGACACACAGGCTAGACTGACAATGATACAGATATCCACAGGCTGAATACATGTGTGTATATATATGCCTTTCATATACATCTGTTTGTGTTTTTTACCAGGAGTACTAAGGCCATGTAAGCATAATATTTGCCCTTAATTTGATATGTCTCTTAATGTCAGGACGCTGTCAAGATTTCTTTCATTATCTAAGTTAACAGTAATTTAAAAGAAATAGCATTTTCACAGAATCACAGAATCCTAGGGGTTGGAAGGGACCTCAAAAGATCATCCAGTCCAACCTCCCTGCCAGAGCAGGGTCACCCAGAGCACATCACACAGGAACGTGTCCAGGCAGCTTTTGAATGTCTCCAGTGAAGGAGACTCCAGAACCTCCCTGGGCAGCCTGTTCCAGGGCTCTGTGACTCTCACAGGAAAGAAGTTCTTCCTGATATTCACATGGAACCTCCTATGTTCCAGTTTGCACCCATTGCTCCTTGTCCTGTCACTGGACATCACTGAAAAAAGCCTGGCTCTTCCCCCTGACACTCACCCTTAACTTATTTGTAAACACTGATGAAGTTGCCCCTCAAGTCTCCTCCAAGCTAAAGAGACCCAGCTCCCTCAGCCTTTCCTCATAAGGGAGATGTTCCACTCCCTTCATCATCTTCGTAGCTCTGCGCTGGACTCTTTCAAGCAGTTCCCTGTCCTTCTTGAAGTGAGGGGCCCAGAACTGGACACAATATTCCAGATGCAGCCTCACCAAGGCAGAATAGAGAGGGAGGAGAACCTCTCTTGACCTACTAACTACACCCTTTCTAATGCACCCTTTCTAATTTTATTGAACTTCTGCTTAAATCCCAGCAACTTCATATAAAGACCGTGTGCCTTGGCATGACATGACTTGAGAAATGAAACTGCAGGTTCCTCAGAAACTGTCATTTACATTCATCTGTGTAGTGCTCAAAGCCACACTGTCTGTTTATATTAAGCTTAAACAAAATGAATGAATTTTCATAGAAAAGTCACTGTAATGAAAAATGTTAAATATCATTTTAAATCTGTAATTTTATACAAATTCATGACATCAACCTCGGTGTATGAAGAAGTTATATTTAATTTTCAATAATGTAATATCTTTTTTGAAATATCACTTGATGCTAGTAATTCCTTTTTTATTACGTCTTATGTTAAATAGATAGTCTAGTAGTTCATATAAAGACTGTGGCTGCTCAGTTCCAGCTGCTTGCACTTGAGCCACTGGATGGCAGTCACATACAACTTTGGAAAGAATTCAGCTTGGTCCTTTTAACTCGCTGACCTAACAAAGAAATGCTAGGTGAAGTGCTTTTAAAATAAAGTTTTCTTTTATTAGATAATGCTAGTTTAGAACAACGACAAGCAAGAAAAGCAAGCAGGCAGGAATCTTACCAGTCCCTCACTGTTGTCTTGTGGTGCACCACTTCATTTCAAGTGCCAGGAAGATAGAAGGGCACAGCACAAAGCTGGTCGTGGCAGGCAATGCAGGCATCCCCCGTAGTAGCTGGCTCTATTGCTAATCAGTGCTTGCACCTGTTGATGGCAAGGTCAGGAAATTACTATCAACAGTTTTTATTTCAACCAGGAACCAAAACACCCCAAAACTTAAATCAGAGTAGTTAAACCCTTAAAACAACTCATAGCCGAACCCATTCTGAATTTTTTCCTTGACTTCAATGAGATCTGGAAAATTTCTGAGTGGATAGATTCATTTAGCAGTTCAGCACAAGAGGTCAGTTTAATCTAATACCCATAAGCAGTAAACTGGCTGTATCTGTTGGAGCCTGCACTGTGACACAACATTAGAGTCCCCTTGTTGCCATCCCTGGCAGGATCTTTTCAGTGTTCTGCCACACTGAAGTCCTATGGGGAGATGAGGTCACTGGAAGGATATATATATATATATTATTATTTTTTTTAATCTGGCTGAGATCACCACTAACTGAGCTGTTCTGAGGTGGAGGGAAGAGGGGGCACACCTGCTCCCATAATAGTGTATTTTTACTCATTTTAAAGATGTGTGTCGTTACGCGTTTTTGCCAGGAAGGACAAAGTTGGAGAATTGTGTCTGGCAGAACAAGATGAATTTTGCAAGGCTTTCTGATTCTGTGAAGGATCTTCCACCATGACCTCAGAAGATCTTCGTAGCAAATATGGCATGTTTGTTTACCAGAACCACAAAAGCTAAGCTTTGGGTGATGGCATAATATATTAGATATTCTGGGACCAAATATAGAGCAGCTTAAAAAAGTTGAAAAATAAAAACTTAGACCTCAAAGTTTCTATTGTACTGTAAGGGCAGATGGCAGCCTTGCAGGGAACCCATATTGCAAAGAAAAAAATAGCTTTACATAGCTAATATAGTTACTACTTCTTAATCCTTGTGGACCAACCTTTCCACATCCTGAACAGTAACTGAATACAAAGGGGGTTTCACCATACCACAGCTGGCAGGATTTGATATTCTGTATTTGTGCATGTAAATGCTCACAATGATTCATCAGGATATATCAGAAATAATTCCACTGCAGGCAAAAAAGTTACATGAAGTTCAAGTCTTGGCATATGAGAGCATAGAGAATCAAGAGTTTTGTGAATCAGTCTTTTTACCAGTCTTTTCCTGATATACCTCTCTAAAGTCTATGCCTTTAGTTTAATAACCATACTAGTAAATACCATGACAGCTCAGAGCCATACCTATTTGTTTTCTGAAATAAGAAGGGAATATTTTTTTCACCTGCTATATCTGCAGCTCCCACTGACAACAGGTTTAACACTTGTGATGCTGGTGCTGGAACACTGATTACCCTTCCACTGGGGAAACCAATAGCAAACACTTCACCAGAGTTTGTACTTAGTAGGACCTGATGTTGTTAAGGTTGAGAATTCTTCTGTATTTTGACTCTTTGTACTAACTTTATTACACTGATTCAAAAATAACATATTTTTAAATTTTAAATTATGTAAGTCTGTTTTCAGGTAAAATATGTGGTTTTGCTGTCAGTTAAAAATCTGAGACAAGCTGTTCAAGAAACTGTGAATAAACTTAAACTTCTTACTTTCTGATTAAGAAAATGAAACTATGTGTTTGCACATATTTTACTCAAAAATCTACAGTTTAAAATTGGGAGCTAGCCAGTAGTCATGCTGATAACACTGATGACCAGATTTAAAAAAAAAACAACAACGTACAAACAAGTTATGATCCATTAAAAATAATTTCTGAACATGAGGATGAACATGCTCTGGCAGGGGGGTTGGACTCAATGACCTGCAGAGGTCCCTTCCAACCCCTAACATTCTGTGATTCTGTGTTACCTAGATCGCTTGGCATCTGCAGGGACGTTTTTCCTTCTCTGTCTATTATGTGTATACACTTCTCTTGTTGGGGTTTTGGGGCAGTATATGGGGCAGTATAAGAAAGACAGGAGTCCTCTTTTCCAGTTACCTTGGTTTTTTGATATTACTGCCTCTGCTGATTCATGGGTATGACATCAGTAGGCTTTCCAAGTAATGAGCTCACAGAATTCTAGGTATAAAGGGATTCAGCCATTCAGTTCTCTGCTACCTGCCATTCATTTCCTTTTATCCACTGAATGGAAAGTCTCCAATATTGTTAAAGCAAACTAATTCAAGATAATATTTCAAAACTAGAAATATGTCAAAAAGATATGTGAAAAATACATATGCCCTTCAGTATTGTGTCTTCTTCAGAATTACCTCTGCAATCTATAATACCCTGCAAAGTCTTATATCAATATGAGTTTCCGTCTTGTTTCATGCCCAGGTAAGGCCAGAACAAAAATTAAAATTTAAAAAAAAAAAATGTTGTTCAGCCCTCCTTAAGCCTGCATAATGAACAGGTAAAGCCTAGAAGACAAATGACAACAGCAAAGGGAAAAATTCACCCCAATTGCCTTCATGAAATGTGAACAAACAAAACACTACTGAGCTGTATTCAACTATCCTAATAGTGCTACTGCAAAGCATAAGTAATTTGCCTTCTTCCTCTCCCTTCACATTTTCCTGTGAAATAGTTAAAAAACAGGAAAAAGTAGCTAATACAGTGTGATTCTTGTATCATATCAGGAATAATGTGAGTTTCTTACAGATTAAACTATTGAAATTATTTCTTAGGTTTCACTACGTGTCATCACAATTAAGCTGAACAACATTGTCAACAAGAAAATAATAAATATGAATGGAAAAAACAGATGTCTTACTAACTTACTACTTTACTGAAAGAAAAGGTGAATGGCCAATACCTACATCAGTCTCAAATTTTCAGCTATTCTCCTGTGGGCAAAGCATGTAAATGTAGCTTTAGCAGTAACATAGGTTCCAAATGGAAATCTTGCATTAAAATAGTAAGTTGTTTTATTGTGGATTTTGATGGGGTTGGTTTTTTTAGCAGTTTTGTTGAAGCACACAAGCAAAAAATGAAACTATTCTGCAATCAGAACAAATAGATGTCCAGTATAAGTATTTTTTAGGCCTTGGAAATCTTGGAAATGGCACTTAAGGAAGGAGGAGTATTAACTGTTATTTCCCCTTTATCAAAATGAAAGCAGAGCATATCAGATAAAGTTGTAAGAGGCATAAACTGTAAAATAGACCTGATTCATTAGCACTGTAAAAAGGCAGATCAGTTCAAAACACTCAATCTTGTCTTTTCTCTTTCCCCAGCTTGATCACTATCCTCCAACAAGTTACAGCCTGCCAACAGCTTCTGACATTCAGTTCAATTCCCCAAAGGCACTATTCCTAGGAAAAGTTATAGGTAAGATTTTATTTTATACCTGGTGATTTTATTGGTTATTTTCAGAGAATACTGAAAACTGTAAGCACATGGGATGATGTTTGTCAGGTTTGCAGCAGGACACTCACTGCACATGTCATTCTTGACTAGAAAGTTATGATGGTGGAGTTAAGACCTAAAGCAAGGGTTATTTTCACCTTGTCACATAGGCTGATGTGCCCACAAATAAGTGATTGTCTGGCCAATGCATGGAGGAAAACAGATATAGGTGAGAGACCCCTTAACATCATATTTGTGCAGTTTCATTACTCTCTAGGTGTCAGGTGGAGGGAATACAAGTAAATCATTGGAATCACTGGTTCTGTGAGGAGATAGTTATCTTCTACTATGAAGTTACTGTATACTTGGCATAATGCCTTTATCCATGCAGTCAACTTTCTTAACCCAGTGCACCCTTTCCTGGCATAATTGTCCCTCATCGTGCTGCCAAAACTGCCACTATCTCACAGTGAGGCCCACCAGCAAGGTCCTTTGAAAGTCTGTGACACCTATGGCAACACTCATCTAAGTTTCCATCCCTTTTATGGACCTCATTGTTGTTTCCCAGCGCAGCATCTTCTCAGGCAGCTCCCCAGCTGAACTCAAAAGGCAATGCAGATGCATCTACAACTGCCTTGGCCTCACTTTTACACCATCCTGCTCTCCATTGCTTATTTTTTCCACTACTTGCATGTTACATGAATTTCCAGGGTTCCTCACTTCAGGAATTAAATATTTCCCTGACCTTTACAGCTTTCTAAGGAGAGCTTTTCCTCCTTTTCAGAGACAAGAGGGTATTGATATTATTTCCTCTAAGTGCTTTGTACAGGAATGTGGTTTCTTGAACTGCAGCGAAGTGTTAAATCCAGAAAACTGTAAACTTTGTTTTCTCTTTAGTGGCATAAGGCAGTAATCTGTGAATCCCACACACTGATTTTTTAAGTATGAAAGCAATGTGACTTCTTGAAGATACACTTTACCGTTTTTTCATTTTCAAACTTTAACATGCTGAACATCCATGGATGAAAAGCCTTTAAAATGCTTGGTTCGCAAGGGGGAGACATAAGCGATCAGCTGACAGTTAAAGGTCAGGCCGCTGTGGGTCTGTCTCCTTCCAACTCCTTTCAGTGCTTCCCTTCAGGGTACTAACCATCACTGAGGTCTGTCCCCTGCAGCTGGTGGCATGTTGGCCAGAGCAGGGAGGGAAATACAGGCAGGACCTCATGAATGCACAGTCCCATGTCACCTCCTTCATCCCACTCGCTTCTGCTTTGGTGAAATAAAAACTCCATCTGGGCTTTCACTGTACAGGCAGGACAAGACAACTGGGAAATCTTTCTTGTTCAACAGGTTCCTTCCAACTCATTTAGTCTCCATTTCTCACTAACTCTATTGGACCCAGACCCTGTTTCTTTTCACCTCTGTTAGGCTCCGTTCACTTGATAACAACTCTCTGTCCTCTCTCTACCATGGCCCACGATGCGTCCAGCCCCATCACCTACAGTCGCAACGTTGGTGGTGCAGGTGGGACAGTGTGGGGCTGTTGGGCTTTGTTGGTGGGGTAAGGTTAGCAGGGCCATGGCAAGGGCTGATGCCAGCTGGGGCACTGCCAGCCAGGGGCTTCTCCCCCCCAGTAGCTGTTCCCCACACAGGGTGAAGATCTTGGCAGCTTCTGGGCTGTTTTCATCCAGCTCCAGGTGTAGGCACAGCGCAGATGCAGCTCTTGTTCTGTGTTCCACATTTTGGTTTGTACCTTGGTAGCAGCTGGAGATGGTCCCTTTTAAAGTTTGAGTTGCAAAAGAAGTGCAAAAGCTAAAAAATCTAAAAAGCTGATTGTTGGGTGACATGATCCCAGTGCTTGTGGAGCTGTTGCTTCTCCCTTTGATGGGTGAAAAGTCTGGTGAGTTTGTCAACTCAGTCTGGGCTTCTGCTGTACGAACGGGCCAGGAGACCTGGGGAAGGTTTCTTTTTCAAACAGTTTATTATCAACTCCTCTAAACTCTCTTTCTTAACAAGTCTATGAAGCTCTATTTGTTCCCAACACTATTAGGGACTCTTGGGGCTGCAGGTGCAGGTGGGGCAGTGAGGGACTGCTGGACTTTGGCCGAGGGGTGGCTTTGGTGTTGGCAGAGCTGAGGCTGGTATCAGCACGGGCATTACAACCAGTGAAGAAGCCCGATCAGCGCGCCGGGCACCGTCAGGGCTCTGGCTGCTGGGTGGTGGCTGAAAGAAGAGGGCCAGAGGGATGAACCTCTCACTGTCCGTTGCTCCGGCGAGCTCGGGAAGGACGGCAGCGGCTAC